TTGAGGGTCTCAAATTAGTGGTTTAAGTCCTATCAACCAAAATGACAGGCAGAAGATAAATCCTAAATATGAATTTAAAAATTAACCTTTTTTGCCACCTGACTCTTTATTCCATCTAGATAATATCTAGTAGTTATGTTTGCTGAGTAAGAAAGTTTTACTCTAGCTTGGGAATGTCTATCATGTGACTATCCTCTGTGACTGGTTTAATCCCCCTGAACCATATAGGCTTACATATATTTCAATTAACTCTTTATTTTTCTATTTATTTATTTATTTATTTATTTATTTATTTATTTATTTAATTTTTTTGAGATAGTGTGTGTGTGAGTGGGGGGAGGCAGAGGAAGAAAGAGAGAGAGAGAGAGAGAGAGAGAGAGAGAGAGACAGAGACAGAGAGAGAATCTTAAGTAGGCTCCATGCCAGTGTGGAGCCTTATACGGGACCCAATCTCATGACTAGTGAGATCATGACCTGAGCCGAAATCAAGAATCAGACCAACTCTGAACCGACTGAGCCACCCAGCTGCCCCTAACTCTTTAAAAGGATACAAATGGATTAACTTTGAGAATTCTGGAATAAGAGTAATTTAGGCACTAATAGGCTATTTTCATTTTCATGACTTATTTCTAATTCATTATTCCTGAATCTGGTAAAAAATACTATAATTTTTCCATATTTCATGGATTTTGAACAGTTTTGTTCCAATGATTCTCATATTAAGATCTATAACCTAAAGATATATGGGACTGAGATCTGAAGGACTAAGAGATATCTTAATCATACAATAATCTCCCCCATTGTGCCTAACATAGAAGAAAAATACACATGCTATTTAATGCACAAAGATATGCTTCTTTCTGCATACTTCTACTTACACTACACTAGTTAGAATCTGAATTATTTTGTTATAAATGCCTCCATTTTAAGAAAAGTTCTGTAAAAGAAACTGGGGAAAAGCAACTCAATTTCAATTGCTTAAATAAATTTTCTAAAAGTGCATGGCTGAACTCTGGTAAGCATCATATGTCCAACAGTCAGCCATCTTTGATACAGTAATCATAGAGCTTATTACAACTAGTTTTTGAGAGAGGCAAGCTTTCTCACTTATTTATTTAGGTATGATTACAGCACTTGTCACCAAAGAACCTGCCTCTAAAAGAGGACATAACTCTGAACTTAATTGCTAATCTAAACAAATGGCATTTTGGAGGAGAGGTTATGTTTGCTCTTTTCATCAGAGCATTCGTGAGGCTGTCTGCAGAGAAAGGCATAAGCTGAACTTTCTTACAGACATCTTTTTGGTCTGGGATACTGTAGTTAGTCAGCTATATCTACCTGAGTTAAATCATAAGAATGAAATAGCTAGGCGCTGGGGCAGGTGAGTTCCTGGGAACCTTTAAGAGCTATTCTCAGTTTGCTACAAATCTGTGAGTCTGGTGGAGGCGAACCTTGCTGGTTTTCAAAGCTTGATCTTTTTGTACTGTTTTCAATCCTAACAAAGCCATAAAATGCTTCCTCATTTTACAGGTGAGAAGACTGAGCTTCAGAATTTAATTAACTTGCTATTATGAGCAAAACCAGGATTAAATCCAGTTTATCTGGGTTTATGTCCATCATAAAAAAAGTAGTTACCCCTTTGGAGCATGTACCAACATTTTCCATTTAACTTTAAAAAATTTGCTTCAATGGAGGAATATATTTGAGTTGTATTTTCCTTCTCCACTTAGATATTTCCCAATTTTAATTTTAATTTTATTTTAACATGAAGAAAATAAAACAAGGCAAAACAAACAACCCTCCTCCTCAAAAATGAAGGGAACAAAGGCTTAATTCTCTTTGAAATAAATACAGTACAAAGTCTCATAAAAAGGTTAAAAGTTTCCATTTAGCATCAGACTCATATTCCGATTTAAAGAAATAATTGTCATGTACAAATCAGAATAAACATATAGGAAAATACAAAGGGATTTGAAATGTCATCAAAATAAAACAATCTTTTTCAAAGTTTGAACATGATACATATTTTAAAATATCTTTCTAACTTTTCATAGCCAAATTCTAGTTATTGCATACTTAAGACTTGAATGCATTTTGTTTTGCTTATTATGCCCAGCACAAACATTTTACAACAGACTAGCCAACAAATTTACAATTTTTTTGAATGCTTTGTTGGGTTTTATAACCTTATTTTCCCAATTAGGCTAAAGACCACTTCCTTTGTACGTAGCTGGTATCTGCATAATGTTTCTGCCAGCTCTACCTCAAAACATGGAAATGAGTATTTGGTAAAACTTACTTCAACTTCTGTGAGACAAAAGTCAACATCTCAGTTACATCAGACTGAGAATAACTGATCACCAGACTAAATTCGTTTTAAAATTAAATACGGCCATGATTCAAAAAATCTTCTTCACCATGATGCAATGTTATCATGGCTTAGTATATGGCTATAATCCCCACAAATTTGACAGAATTTGTTTTTGGCCATTTCTTGCATCTTGAAGGGGTCAGGTACAACAAAGCAAATTGATAAAACTTAGGAAAAAAGAAAGTGAGAAAAACCGCAGCAACCAAAATATCCACAAAATAAATAATCAAGAATTTTTAATGTCAAAGATCTTGTATATGGAAACTTCAATTATGGGTGAGGAAGAAGGTATTGCACATGGGGATATTAATCATTTTTTTTTATTCTGGGTCTGTGGTGCCAACTTTAACATTGGCTTTTATTAGAGGCATGCAAACAGGTATCAGTGACACAACTAAAATAAAATGAGTCAAAGAGAAAAGGGCATAAAATAAGGACTTTCCATTTGGCTCAGAACCAAGTGTAAGGACAGCACATTGTTCATTACTAACAACATTGATGTCTCAATTGAAATCGCTGTCTCTTCCTTTAATCTTTCTCATCTTGCCAGGAGACACAATCATTTACCTAAACACTAAAACAAGAGAGCCATTAATTAATGGCTTATCCCACAGCTAAGCAATCAGCCAGCAAAAGTCAAGAATTGACTAAATCCATCTCCTCCTCTCCATCCCACTGCTCCAGCCTTGGCTCAGGTCCTCACCATCTTTCTCCGGGACCTTCAAAATAACCTTTAAACTAGTCTTTCTCTCTGCACTCTTGCTCTAATCCCCATCCTGTGATTATCTTAAATTCTCAGTCTGATTAAAACTTTTTTTGGCTCCCCATCTTCAGCAGAGTCGATTTCAAACTTTTTACTTAGGGTTACGGGACTCCTCATGAGCTGATCAGCCCACCAGCCTTAGCATATCCTCTTTCTAGTACAGCAGTGCTGAGAAAACATGCAACCATGAACATACTTTGGAGACCATAATAAGTTCTTTGAGGACAAAAGCACGTATATATTTTCAATCCCAGTACTAATTACATCAGTACCATCACCCCCCACCCCTTGCTTATTTGAGACTTCACTTTCTGTGATTTCAGTTACCTGTGGTCAACCTAAAGCAGATAATCCTCCTTCTGACTTGTTAGAAAGTCAGTAGCCTAATGCTAGTCTCAATGCTTATGTCATTCTTCTCACATCATCACAAGAAGGGTGAGCACAGTACAGTAAGATATTTTGAAAGAGAGACCACATTTGCATAACTTTTATTACAATAGCTTGTTACAATCACTCTATTTTATTATCAGAGATTGCTGTCAATCTCCTACTATGCCTTATTTATAAATTAAACTTTATCATACTTATGTATGTATAGGGAAAAACATAGGGTTTGATACTATTCACAATTCCAGTCATCCACTGGGGGTTTCAGAACATATCCCTATTCACACTCAAAATTTAATCGTGTCACCTTCTTGATAAAATCTCCTGACACAGTCCTCCAAAAAGTTAATTGTTTTCTCTTCTTGCACAAAGTTTTATTTTGGTACATTTCATGCTATATATTAATTACTTGTTTCCACATTGGTATCCTCTTTTAAAGAGTGAACGTCCTAAAGGCAAAGAGTGTATCTTAAAATCTTCATATCTCTAGGGATCTAGAACTGTTTCTGAAACATTTTTGTAATGTGGTAGGTACTATTCTAAGAACTTTCTATATCTCATTTAATGAATAAAGTTTGTAATAAATATTGTTAGATAAAGTTAAAAAATATAAAAACTTGGGGCACCTGGGTGCCTCAGCTGGTTAAGTGTATGACTTCAGCTCAGGTCATGATATCAGGGTCTGTGGTTTTGAGCCCCACGTCAGGCTCTGTGCTGACAGCACTCTCAAAAATAAATAAACATTAAAAAAATTTAAAAATATATAAAAACTTATAAAAATATCTCACTTGCAAGATATTAAACTTTGAATGCTATTCAGGGATTTGGAAAATAAATAAATGCCAACTTTCAAGTTAGAGAAAGATAATTTCAATGGCTTAAGATATTTTGAGTGGGGAAATAGTGCATGAGTAGAGACAGGTAAAAGTCAAGTGGAAATAAACATTCTTCCTGGGAACTGGAGTCTTATCAAGAAGAAGTCACAACTGGTGATTTCATTGGGAGGTGCTAATGATATTCAAAGAACCATGATCAGGTCTTTTAGAGCAGTGTTGCCACTTTTAAAACAAATCATTAAAAAGTATTAATATTATTTTTTTACTTTTAAGCAGAACTGATGAGATTATTATATAACTGTTGCTAGAAACTTCTTATTAAAATGTTGAAATGTTATTTATAAATTATCTTTTTATTAAGTGAATCTTTGCACTTCCCCATTCAAATTTCAAATTGCCAATATGTCAGACAAAATGCAGTGAGAAAATATTCTCACTTGAATGACAACATTGGTAGAACTTTAACCAAAATTTATGCTGTGATTCGGGTGTTGGGAGAGGGTATGCAAATTAAAGCCTTGTGTTCTTTTCAAGATCCAAGTATCCTATTATTTAGCAGTATAAAGGATTTTCTTAGAGGAATATAACAAGTGGACATAAATGACTTTTTAAATTGTTTTACTGTTTCTTTCTGTTTTCACAGACCAGTTGAGTTTTCAGAAGTTGATTACCCACAAGTTGAATATCAAAGAAGACAACAATTTTGGGATCCTATACGTCTAGCTCTTTTCACATTGGCAATTGTAGCAATCATAGGAATTGCAATTGGTATCGTTACTCATTTTGTTGTTGAGGGTAAGTATCCAGGTCACATTTTTATTGCCTAAGTGCTCTATGACTTAATACCTTGAAATTCTCTGTTGTATAAAAAATGCTATTTGCATGATATTAAAATTGTAATTACTAATTTCTTATTGATGTTAAGTTATTGTTTGTTCCATTATTGAGTTCAGGGTTACATATTTCCAGCCAGTGAAGCTTGCAATATACCTTATCACATGGATAGACATCTAAAAGCAATAGTTTTAAAATGAGAAAGAAGAATGAAAGCTTAATCTTTAGAATAGATACAAATCACATCATGTGCTGAGTTTAATATGTTTTTGTTTTTCAAAAACAATATATTAATGAGTTCCCCAAGCAAAGATGATAAGAGAAAAGTTACCTAAAAAAGAATCTTTAATGGGCTAAAAATCAAACATTATCTTTGAAGGAAAAAGATTGTTTCATGACTGGAGGAAGAAAGGAAAACTCAATTTTGCATGATGTGCAAAAATGGGTAATACTAATTAAACCAGATGACAGTCAACCAATATTTATTTACCTTTACTTTGGCATGTGTATTTATAAACTCATGTGACTGAGTCACTGACTAAAATTCTCCAGAATCATATGACTCACAACAATAAAGTCACACTTGAAAGATCAGGAAGCGATGAAATATTGTCAAACATGCTAAGTTTACCTTCCTACCCCCTTTATTGGGGGATTGAAAATATCCATTTTTTGACTTTCATGAAATAAAAAGGATAAACAAAATTGTCCTCTGTAATTATGTCTTTCTTGTTAATATATCCCCAGGTCAAAAAGGAGTAAAGTAGTTCTGTGTGTAAAATGTCCTCCATCCCCAATACTGCAGGTGTTCAAAAAAGAAAAAAAAAAAAAATGAAGGGATAATAAAAATAATGGCATGATAGTGTTTTTAAAATGTCATAGAGGTTGTGCTAGGCTGAATAATGCCTCCCTTCCCACTTTGGTTACCCATGTCTTAATCTTTGGAACCTGGGATGTTATCTTATATGGCAAAAAATACTTTACAGATGTGATTAAGTTAAGGTTTCTGAGAAAGGAAAGTTATGCTGGATTTTCTAGATGGGTCCTAAATGTAACTCCAAGGTTTTCATAAAAGGGAGGCAAGCAAGTCAAAGAAGGAAGAAGGCTATGTGATGACAGAAGCAGGGGCAAAAAGGAATAATGTGATATGGAACCATAAGCCAAGGAATGAGGATAGCCTCTGGAAGCTGAAAAAGGCAGCTGAAAAAGATTCTCCCCTTACAGCCTCCAGAAGGAACCAGCCCTGAAAACAGGACTTGACTGTAGTCCTATAAAACTCACTTCAGACTTTTAACCTCCAGAACAGTAAAATAATAAATTTGTGTTGTTTTAAGCCTCCGAATTTGTGGTTATTTGTGACAGCAGCAACAGGAAACTAATACAGGGGTTAATACTCAAGAATTTCAGAAATCTATTACATGGAACTTCCCTGCAGTTAATTGAAAGCTGCATCATTATAGATGGAAATTTAGTAAAACAAAAGAGAAGATAGTCTGTGACAAAGGATTAATGAATCCAAGGAATAAGATAGAGGTAATAACGTATACATTTCAAAAGATAAGATGATAGACACATTTCAAAAAAGTAATATACATATTTTTATAGCATAAAGAAATAAAAATGAAATGAAATCACAGTATAGTGACTAGGATAACACCAAGAAGAAAAAGTATCTAAAAAATAATAATTTTAAAGAGTGAAAACAAATGGATCTAAAAGGCAGGAAAATAAAAATGAAATATATGAAATAATCAAAACAGAAGTAAGGATTTTAGCATACTTGATAAAATTTACATCACTAGGATAGAAGTATATTTGAGGAAGCTATTTTTATCCTAGGGATCTCAATAATTATGAGTTATTAGCTTTCACTGTATTATCATTCTGATGAATTATCTACTCCCTAACATATGGGAAATTTTCAAATAAGGATTATAAAATAATCCAGTGACTTGTAGAATATGAATGGTTTGTCAGTGCCCTCCAACTAAATATCGCCAAAATTACAGGTGCATTTGAACAAGGTGGGTTTATTCTTGTAGCAGAGGAGAACATACACCATGGGGGACCATGAGGCGGTCAGAGATTGTTGGAAAAGGTGTATTATATGATTTGGGGAGGGTTCAAGGAAGTAGGATGCATCCTTCATTGGATGCTGTCAGAGAGCTGGAATAATGCTATGATTTGGTATCTTAATAAATCTTACCTGAACGACAACAGCAATGAAGTGGGGCTAACGCTGTTAACTGTTGGAGAAAGAGCACTCATTTATAATAGCCAGAATAAGGGAATGTTCTGCCTTGTTTGATTATTTGTTTGAACAGTGTTTTTGTCTGAGCTCAGATATATCTATAGATGATCTTATTTTTGTCATCACCTATATTGTCACAGAGTGGCCTTGTCTAATGTTGATGTTCTACAAAATTGTAACAGAATACCAGGGCCTAGGCGATAGTATCAGGCCAGTTCCTAGATATCAGGAGCCATTTTTTCTCTTTCTCAGGTTTTATATTTACAACTCCATAAATTCTTGGGTATCCCTTTAAAAGAAAATTTCTGTGTTATTAAATATTAAGTGCCTAACAGAATTAATGTAGCTAACTTTTTGTTACTCATCATGATAAAAAGACTGATGAAGTGTTGGATTCTTATTTTTCCTTGAGATTTCCATTTAGATCCTCCCTTTTTATTTAAATGAAGGTAAATTAAATATTTAAAAGTGAAGTCATAATTGAATAGTAAATTATACATACTTTTGAGCCTTGTTGCTACTCAATATTGTTATGTGTCATCCACTTTGTAGTTAGCTTTAGTCTATTTATTTTCAATATTGACTAATATTCTGTTGCCTTACACATGCCATACTCATCTATTCTAATGTTCATGGACATTTGGGTAGTTCCAGGTTTTAGACATTAAAACAATACAGCTATGAACCTTCTTATGCATATGTATTGGTACACATATGTGAAGTTTATCTAGGGAGCATACAGATGTAGAGTTACTGCATCACTGGGCATATGCTTTTTGAACTCTATGGATAAAACCAAGCTGTTTTCTATCAGTACTGTATGGGAGTTCCCACTGCATTCCATAGTTTCACCAGCATTTGCCATTGCCATACTTTATATATTTGCTAATTTGGTATAGATTGTAGTGTTATTGTAATTTAAAATTTTTTTAATTTTATACATTTATTTATTTTTGATCGAGAGAGACAGAGCACAAGTGGGGGAGGGGCAGAGAGAGAAGGAGACACAGAATCCGAAGCAGGCTCCAGGCTCTGAACTCTCAGCACAGAGCCCAACGCAGGGCTCAAACTCACAAACCTCAAGATCATGACCTGAGCCAAAGTCGGATGCTTAACTGACTGAGCCACCCAGGTGCCCCTGTAATTTTAATTTGTATCTGCCTGATGACTGCCAATAACACCGGGAACTTATCCATGTATTAACTAATAATTTAGATTTCTGTTTTTGTAAAATGCCTGTTCAAATCTTTTTCCCATTTTTTATTGAAGTCCTTAATTGATTTGTGTAGTTCTTTCTATATTCTGGATATATATATCCATGATCTGTTGAATATGTTGCAAATATCTTCAACCAATGAAAAACATCAAATATCAATGAAAAATACCAAAAATATAATGATAGCTTCATAATTGTGTGAGGATAATTTAATATTAATAAGTAAAATCATCACCACCACCATTCACATGAAATATTAACAAGAAAAATTCAAACACTGAGTTTTCAAGTTGTCTTTTTTTTTAAGTACCTAGAATTATATAGTAAATTATATTTTTCAACAAATAGTTTCATTATGCAGATTAATTTTTTCACAATTATTTAGAATTACTTATATCTTTTCTTATAGGGTAAAAACATATCTTTTATAAAGAATTCCATGAAATATTTTGAAGAATTGCCTTTAGAATTATATTTTCACAAAATCCGACCCTCAATTTTCTAAAGTTTTTTTTGTTTGTTTTTAAGAGAGAGGGGGGAAAGAGAGACTGCTTGCATGTGCACATGCACAAGCAGGGGAGAGGCAGAGAGAAAGGGAGGTTCCACATCCAGTGAGGAGCCTGATACAGGGCTCAATCTTACAACCGTGAGATCATGACCTGAACCCAAATCAAGAGTCAGATGTTTAATGGACTGAACTATGCAGGCACTCCTCTAAAGCTACTTTTGACTTCTTGAAAACCTAAGTGTTCTTAGTTAAGTCTGGATTGAAACAGCATCATTTGTCTTCCCATTCTACAAGACTGGCTCCAGTTCCAGGAATGTGGGGAATATATGCTCCCACGGGATTTAGAGTCAAATTAAAACCTTGGTTTTAATCTCAGGCCCATCATATACTAGCTGGGTCATTTTGGCAGGGTACTTTCCTAATTCACTGAGTTGCAGTCAATGAAAACAATATTTTTAGAAAAAGAAACATGAGTCGAAATAATAGTATTAGTTCCTTCTAGATGTTAGGGTTATAGATTACTTTTATTCTTTTTTATATATTTCTGTTCATTTCAGAGTTTCTAATATAGCACTTATAGTCTGAAAATTTAAAAAAATAAATTAAATTAAAAGTTAGAATGCTTAGCACAGAGTCTGATCTATTAAATACTTAAGAAATATTGACTATTAAAATAATTATTTTTCCTTGACTTGTAAAAAGCTTAAGGTATTGTTCTTTTTACTCATATTACCTAAAATGGTACTTCCTCTTCAAATGCAAAAATGGTACAATACTTTGCTCAAAGACTTGACATTACAGTGGACTAAAATCTATAGGTTATTATGATATTGTGGCAAGTACCAAATAGAGCTCTTCACAGGATGGTTATAGTGGCACAATTGTGAAGTCCTTATCTAACTAAGGCTGAATGTTCCAGACATTTTCCCCATTTGGAAGTAATGTCATGAGTAGAATTTATGCATGGAAATGCCTTTGGAATGGCATTTCAAGCAAAGGGTCTACAGAAGCAAAATCTTAGGGGGAAACAAATACCCAGCATGGTGAATGTAGACAAATGCAAACAGTTTGCTGTAGTTTCAACATAAATCCTAAGGGGAATGTTGCAAAGAATATGCTCAAAGGCACAGGTAGGATCCAGGTCAAGGAAAACTTTTGGAGATCATAGTAGAGTTAAGACACCTTACCATAAGAAATGGAGAAAAGTGGAAACATTTTAATTGGGGAAGTCATCTTGTCAAATTTGCAATTTTAAGATTACTATGTGGGGAATAGATTTGAGAAAAACAGGACTTGAGGCAGGGTATTAGTTAGTATGCTATTACATTTTATTTATTTTTCTTTTTTTACATTTTTATTCATTTTTTGAGAGACAGAGGGAAACAGAGCATGAGCAGGGGAGGGGCAGAGAGAGAGGGAGTCACAGAATCCAAAGCAGGCTCCAGGCTCTGAGCTGTCAGCACAGAGCCTGACATGGGGCTCAAACCCACAAACCAGGAGATCATGACCTGAACCAAAGTCAGAAGCTTAACTGACCAAGCCACCCAGGTGCCCCAGCTGTTACATTTTCTAGACAATAAATAATAAGGGAACAAACTACAGCACTAGTATCAGTACAACATGTGAATAGAAGATAGATTTTTAAAATTTAGATAACATAGTCAGAACTTGCTGATTAATTAGAAAGAGATCAAGATTTCTAATGTCTAAGATTTCTAGTCTGGTTGTAATGATATTATTGTAATGATAGCATTTAAGATAGACAATCTAGATGGGCAACTTCTTTTTTAATAAAAAAGTCATTTTGTTTTGGATAGATACTAGCTAGGTGGTTGATGAGGACCTGAATTAAGGATGTAGCTTCTCTGGGTGGGAGAAAGGATTTGAGATATATTAATAGATTCAATACATAAAACTTAAAGATGGAAAGGCTGGATGTTGGAAATGAGGATGAAGCTAAGTTTGGGGTGACTGTGGATGATGGAGCTGTTAATGAAGATAGAAAATGTAGGAGATAGGGCAGGCTTGGTACAGGAAGAAGTAAATGATTATTTCCATTTGGAAATATTATTTTTAAGGTGCCTATTTGATGTCCACCAAATAGTCTCCTTATTTGATAGAGAATTGAAATTCATGACAAAGATCTAGCCTGAAGATAAAATTTAGGGGTCATCAATTGTTAAAATAATTAAACAGGGAAGTCATTGGACTAAGGTGGCTCTAATGCCTTGGTAGCCTACGTAAGAAACCTAAACCTAAACCAGAGTCAGTGCACTCAAATCTCAGAAAATGAAACTTAAGAACAACTATCACAAACAGCTCAGTAGGCTTTCCTTTATAAGGCAACTGCTTAAGCTACAGACAATCAATTGATTTCCTTACTTTTCTTTTACATCCTGTCTATACAAATTTCCCTTCACTTCTGTCAGTGGAGGGATCTTAATCACTTGGTTTGATGCTGCCCAATTGGAATCGCCCTTTGCTCAAATAAACCCTTGCAAATGTAAATGTGCCCCAGTTGATCTTTCAACATCAACAAATACTTAATGTTTGAGGCCATCACCATTAGGATCACCCAGAAGGAGTTAACTAACATTAACATGACCAGGACAAGATAAAATGCTAAGTGGCTAAGGATAGAAGTAAAAATAAAGAGCTCTCCAAGGCAACTGAGAAGGAGTGGCCAGGTAGAAAGAAAGTTAGAAGATGTCTCCATAAAGTCTAGGATGGGGTTTCAAGGAATATTATTAAGGTGGCAAAGAAATCAAGATTAAAAAGAAGAAAGACCCCCCAAAAGGTGGCTCTTAGATATTATAACTGTTGTCCTTGACAATGGCAGTTACACTGGTGTGTCAAGGGTAGATTACAGAGAATTGAGAGTTAATTGGGCAAAAAGAAAGTGAAAACAATAAATACTAGTTCCTATTAGTAGCATGGAAAAAATTGATAGCCTGTTCAATGTATCTTCATAATACAGCTCAGCAAGATATACTTATGTTACAATTCTTTGAGGAAATTGATAATTTTTACATGACTTTTAGCAGTCACTTTCAATATTTACTCTCCATGTTACATGTCCAATTGTATGAAAATTTTGATATGCATAAACACTGTAAATGAGGTATTCTGAAAGTATACTTGGAGGCCTGAATTTTCTATTTTAGATGGGTACAATGATAAAATTATAAAATATTTGAAAAATGTCCACAATAATTTTTGCACCAAGAAGAAATAAACTGCACTATGGTAAATCTATTTCCTGGGGTTGGGGGACACAAAACTGATTATATTTAAGCATGGACCTTTTATTTATTTTTACCTTTCAGATGATAAGTCATTCTATTACCTTGCCTCTTTTAAAGTAACAAATATAAAATACAAAGAAAATTATGGAATGAAAAGCTCAAGAGAGTTTATAGAAAGGAGTCATCAGATTGAGAGAATGGTAAGTTCAATAGAAATTCCAAAAGTTTATGAGTGTGTTTTCTGTTTCACTTTCAATATGGTTGCTATAAGAACTTAGCTTCTTCCTGCCTTAACTTCTTCTGTGCACTGTAGATAATATATAGATCATATGGTTGTGAGGATTAAACAACTTAATATATGTAAAATATTTAGAATAATGTTATGTACCATTAAACGTATGTAGATTACAGTAGGCCACCAATTAGCAACAACAACAAAAAAACCTGATGAGTCAAATAGATGTTCTTCCTATTTTTAACTCTTGATTTTCTTTCCTGGTTCTTTTTCCATAATCTTTTTCAACATAAGAATAGGATTGCCATTTTGCCTTATCATTTTGTTTATTTTGCTTTTAAAATTATTTTAAATTTTTTTTTCAACGTTTATTTATTTTGGGGACAGAGAGAGACAGAGCATGAACGGGGGAGGGGCAGAGAGAGAGGGAGACACAGAATCGGAAGCAGGCTCCAGGCTCTGAGCCATCAGCCCAGAGCCTGACGCGGGGCTCGAACTCCCGGACCGCGAGATCGTGACCTGGCTGAAGTCGGACGCTTAACCGACTGCGCCACCCAGGCGCCCCTTAAAATTATGTAAAGCATCACATACGAGGATGTATGTTGGCAATTTTTGATGCCAATCTCAAATCTAGTTCTCCCCTCAAATATTTTGGTTTCCCTTGAAAATTTACACATTTATCAAGGCATGTCTAATTTTGAAAGTATATAAGACAAGCTAGATCTTTACCTATTCTAGTAGAAAGTCAAATAGAATAGTCTTCTATTTTTGTCCCAAGAAAAGCTTGTCCACGGAGACCACAGATTTGTTTAGCAAAACCCAGTATATTAGCTTAAAGTGTACTCCTTAATGCTTAGGAGAGTTATTCTGGAAAAACAGAGCAATAGCTCTGTAGAAAGGAGATTGAATTAGTATGATTATTTATGATTACCTGTAAATACTAGCTCAATTAAAAGATGACCTTAGCACTCCAACCCTTCACTCATTGTACTTTCCTTTCTCTGAATTATTAACAATGTAGGAAAGTATTTGCATTTTATTTAGTTATGTGTCTATATGTAGGTTGATTCTAACTATTGAAAACCAATGAAAGTATTTTTCATTTCCATAGTTGTTTAAATAGTGTTTGTCATTTAACAAGTGTTTATAATAATCATGTTGCAGCAATTCTTATGCTATTCAAAGAAGAATGCTCCCCGAAGCAATTTTAAATACAACTCACTTATTTTTTTAAAGTTCTCCACCATTTTGCTATATCTTCAGATATGTCCAAAGTCTCAGTATTTCTTTATTTCTTTCATTCTTCTCAAAACTTTGTGCTTTCTGCTTCAATTTGAACTGATTGCTTTCTAGGTCCACTTCAGAGAGGTAACCTGGGTCAAAACAGGACTGCTCTAGCATGTGAGATCCATTGCTTCTTGAATCCCATATTTTCCTTGATATGGTGGGTTATGTCCTTAAGCACCTTCCTTAAGAAAAAAGTGCATGGGAGGTAACATTTATGAATTACTTTATGTTGGAAAAAAGTCCTATGTTCCACTCAAGCAACAGTTCAAATATAACACTTTAAATTGAAAATCACTTCTCTTCAGACCATCTGAAACCTTGCTTCATTTTTTTTACTCTATCACATGCAGCTGATGAGAGATGGTGTTTCTTTTAAGGAAATGTCTTCTTTCTCTAGAAGATTTTGTACTCTATTTTTTGTTTTCTAAAATTTCATAATGATGTGTCTTGGTATTTGATATTTGATATTTCATTCATTTTTGTTGGGATATCATCATACTTTAAAAAGTGTGTAAGGGGCGCCTGTGTGGCGCAGTCGGTTAAGCGTCCGACTTCAGCCAGGTCACGATCTCGCGGTCCATGAGTTCGAGCCCCGCGTCAGGCTCTGGGCTGATGGCTCGGAGCCTGGAGCCTGTTTCCGATTCTGTGTCTCCCTCTCTCTCTGCCCCTCCCCCGTTCATGCTCTGTCTCTCTCTGTCCCAAAGGTAGATAAACGTTGAAAAAAAAAAAAAAAAGTGTGTAAAACATTTCAAAGAATATCCAAGAACCCACCACCAATTTTCAGAACTTTACCAGTACTTCTGAAACCTCTATATGTTCTTCTCTCTCTCTCTTCTTCATAGTTAAACATTTCTATTTTGAATTTGGATTTAATCATTCTGTGGTTTTATCACCTATTTATGCATACTCAAATAGCATAGTATGCAATTTTACCTCTTTTGAACTTTATGTAAATGTAATCATATTATGTCCTTCTGTGATTTCATTCTTTCACTCAACATTATATTTTTGAGATTTTTCCCATTTTGATGCATGTAGCTATAGCTCATTTATTTTCACTTCAGTGTAGAATGCCCTAAAAAGAATATACTACTAATTATTAATTCATTCTGCAATTGACAAACATTTGAGCTACTTTGTAATTCTGAATAATGCAGCTAATTAACATCCTTTCAGTTTAGCGCATGTACTCCTAGTGCATGTGCAAGAGCCTCCCGTAGGTCATGAACCAAGCAGATGGTTTGCTGGGTTATAGGTTATGCTAATACTTAGCTTTAGCAGATTTTTATCAATGGTTTTCCAGGGGGTTTGTAGACATTTACACCACCACCAGCAGGGCATGAGAGTTCATCTTGCCCTTCCTACTCACCAAAATTTTCTACAAAATTGACTTTTGCCAAACTGGTATCTGTATAAAATGGTAACTCATTGTGGATTTAATTTGCATTTTCCTGATTATTAATAAGGTTCACCAGTGGCTAGCAATCATTTGTATTTTGTCCTTTATAAATATCTACTCATGATTTTTTTCCCATTACTCTTCTTTTTCTTTCTTTTTTCTTTAGTTAACATACAGTGTAATATGACCATGTCTTCTTGTATTTTTGGTTTTTAATTTTTTCTTAGAAACATTTTTGGGAAATGAATACTTTGTTCATTATATTATTGAAAAATTCTTTCAATTCAATCCTTTTTTCCATTTTGTGACTTGCCTTTTCATTTTCTTTATAACATATTTTAATGAACAGTATTCTCAGTTTTAATATAGTTACGTACATCATTCTTTTGTTATTAGTGCCCTTTGTGTTTGTAAAAGAAATCCTTTCTGATACTGATGTCACTGTCAAAAAAATCCTTTTTCCTTTTTGCATTTAAGCATTCATTCTACATGGAGTTGATATTTGCATATGTGTTTGATTTAGAGATTTAATTTCATTTCCGCCCCCCCCCCCATATGAGTAAGCAGTTCTCTTAGCACCACTGATTGAGCAGTCTTTTTTTTTTTTGGCTGATATGCCATGCCATTTCTGCCACAAATCAAGTTTCCATATGTGAATCTGGATGTTGCTGGGCTCTCTAATCTGTTCCATTGATCAGCTTGTTTTGCATTGTGTCAGTACCACAATGTTTTAACCTCTGCGGTTTGACAGTAAGTGTTGATACTGGTTGTATTAGTTTCTTAGTGTTGCTGTACCAAATTACCAAAAACTAGTGGATTAAAATAACAGAAATTTATTCTCTCACAGTTATGGAGGCTAGAAATCTGAAATCAAGGTATTAACAGGGCTGGGCTCCTTGAAATGTTCTAGGGAAGAATCTTTATTTGCCTCTTTCAGCTTCTGGTAGGTTCAGGCATTCCCTGACATAGCTACATAACTGCAATCTGTGTTTCCATCTTCACCTGACCTTTTGCTCTGTGCTTCTCCACTCCAATAAAGGCATTGGATTATTAAATTAAAATCATTAGATTCAGGATTTTCCTGGATAAAACCACATTGGTTTTATCTTGAAATCCTTAACATAGGATCTGCAAAGATTCTACCAAATAAGATCACATTCACATGTTCCCAGACTTAGACATATCTTTTTAGGGGGCCATCATTCAACCCAGTACACCTGAATTTATCACCATCTTCTTCAGGTATGTCTTAGTTATTCTTAACCCTTTTCTTTTCATATCAAATAATACACACATATGCACACATACAAACATTTATATTGGGATTTTTATTCAGATTGCTTCAAATTGAGAGATTTAGAGAAATAATTGATATCTTCATTTATTTACCCATATTTACTATATTTCAATAAAGCTTTAACGTGTTTTTCTTAAAGGTCTTATTCATCTTTGGTTAGATTTAGTAGTAAAAGCTCTTTTTTTGTCATTGCTTATAGTTTGGATATTAACCCTTTATCGACTATATGATTTGCAAATATTTTCTCTCATCCCATAGGTTGCTTTTTCATTTTGTTGATGGTTTCCTTTGCCATGCAGAAGCTATTAATTTAATGTAATCCCACTTGTTTATTTTTGGCTTATTTAATTAATTAATTAATTAATTAATTAATTTATTTATTTATCTGATTTTGGTGTCGTATACAAAAAATCATTGCCAGGACCAGTGTCAAGGGCCTTTTTCTCCATGTTTTTTTTCTAGGAGTTTCATGGCTTCAGGTCTTAAATGTAAGACTTTAATCCATTTTGTATATGGAGTAGGATAAGGATCTAATTTCATTCTTCTGCATGTGAAAAACCAGTTTTCCTAAGACCATTTATTGAAGAGATTATACTTTCCCCATTTTGTATTCTAGGTGACCTTGCCAAGGATTAGTTGACCATATATGCATGGTTTTATTTTTGGGTAGTCTATTCTTTTCTATTAGTCTACATATTGGGTTTTGTGCCAGTATCATACTGTTTTGATTACTATAATTTTGTAATATAATTTGAATTCAAGAAGTGTGATGCCCTCAGCTTTGTTCTTATTCAAGATTGCTTTGGCTATTCAGGGTCTTGTGTGGTTCAATATGAATTTTATGATTGTTTTTCTATCTGTGGGAAATTGCCATTGTAATTTTGATAGGTATTATATTGAATCTGTAGATTGCTTTGGGTAGAATGGGCATTTTAACAATACTAATTTTTCTAATCCATGAACACAAGATATCTTTCCATTT